AGAAAATAAACTGCAAAGGCATATGAGTTAGAAGTCCGCTATTTTCACATATATATACATATATTTTTTTACTAATAACCTTTTGTAATGGGGTTAAATTTTGCTCTTGCGATGCTTCTATGTCCTGAGAGCTATCCTCTAGGGTCATGGTGATATAGTACGTTACGAAATCGTTTTATAATGCGATGTGTATGTTTATTATTTTAATTTGGCTTGCGTTTTGAAAAAACTTAAATATTTGTATGTATATTATGACACTATTTACAAAGTACTTCATTTAAAAATTTTCCCATTATTTAAATATGTATAATTAACGGTATTTAGCTAACGTAAAAACTTACGAAGTACGTAAATTTCCGAGTATACACTCAGTGTTGCATGAACGCACCTCATGAAATATTTGAGTAAGTACATAATTTTAATCGAGCAGAGCTTATCAATGAGATATTTTCAAAGGTTAATATCATTTAGTTTTTAAGTTAAATTAAATCTTTTTGCACTGTGGATGTCAATCGTAAGGGTTTCAAAATCCTTTTGTTTCGAAAAACATAATAATCCTGTTAATAAATTCAAAATTAATTTCATTACCAAGTTAAATGCAATATTTGAATGTACACAGGTATGAAACGAGAGAGACTCAAGAAAGCTTTATTTAAGCTTTAATTAATAAATTCAAGGAAATATTTTAATATGGGTATCGAACGAGGCAGGTTTAAGAAAACTTTAATTCTAAAATATTTTTAAAGAGTATTGCCACCTATTTAGAAATTCGAAATCAATTTAATTAAGAAGTTATATCAAATATTTTAATGTGGACACCAAATGAGAAGGAAGTTTTTTTCATAAAATATTTTTGCTTAGGGCCGGATTCACAGTGCTTAGTTAAACGTTTGTTAACTTAACCACTAACACGAGTTTAACTATGAATTTATATTCAGAGTAACATAGTTAACTATGGAAATTCATATCGCCTGAAAATATACAAATTCTAAAAATCAAGACTTTTCTATTCAAATTTGAAATTCGTTCCACAAAAAAAAATTAATTTCACAAGAGTTTAACTATGGTGCATGCTGGTTTAAACTGTTGTTAACTGAGCGTTGTGAATATGAAAATCAATAGTTAGACTCTTATCAGTGGTTAACTACGCACTGTGAATTTGGCCATTAAAGATTCAAAATAAATTTAAATAACAAGTTAATTACGAGGGAGATTTAAGAAAATTTTATTTCGATGATATTTTTTAAAAATCTTAATTTGAATATTTCATTATCAGTATATCAAACGATAGAGGTTTAAAAAGCTTTATTTATAAAATACTTTGGAATAGGGTTGCAATCTGTTTTGAAACTCAAAATCAATATATTAACAAGTTAAATGAAATATTTCAACATTGCAATTAATCGATCAGTTGTTTCGATTTTGCGTAATTATGAAAAAGCATAGATTCTCACAGAGCATTTAAACAAAAATATTTCTAACCAAAAATATCTTGTAAGTTAACGAAATACCGATTGGAGACAAATATGGGTTTTTCAGTGTATCTACATTAGGGTGGTACAAAACAAGTTAAGTCGGAATTTTAATGCTCTCACCTCCTAAGATTTTTCTATACCGAAAAATTTACCCCCATTTTTTTTATTTTGAAGTCAAAAAATATTTAGAGGTTGATCGAAGCGCTCAAAGTTTCCCATCTATTTTAAATGGGAAAAAACAAATTTTCCGAGAAATGGTACATAGTTCTTAAAAAACATATCCTGTTTCCCATAAAAAACGTTAGTTTAAAAAATGGTAAAATAAACGACTGGGTATTATTATAGGGTAAACGGAATTGGAAAAAAGTTTTTTAAAATTACACAGAAAAAAGTCGGAAAGTTAAATAAAAAAATAAATAAAAATTAAGACTGTTCTGAGCAGCTTTTTAATAGTTCCTGAAAAGAAAAAAGGCTGCAAAATTACGCCGAATAGGTCTGATGTTAACGCTCCTGATCTGAAAATAAACAACGCGGATGGCAATGCTTGTAACAGAGGAAGAGGAAGACCTACTCTGCGATGTAAAGACCAGACGGAGGACTTGGGGTCAGTTGGCAGGGAAGGGAGACGGCTGGTGACGTGCTTTATTCAATTCGGCCAAAATAGTTTAGGCGCTTACAGCGCCAAAGAAGAAGAGGAAGACTGTTGAACTCACTAATTTACCGCTCAATCTCTCCACCTAACTTGCGTAATTGGTTAAAAATATATTATTACATACATACATGCATACGTATGTATATACATAATCAATACATGATGCACTTATGTACTTCAAAACTTACTCACCTCCGCACAAACAAAGTCTCACATAGACTCAGTCATATCACTTTTTTCGGGATTCGTAAACGACAGATGATCGTAAAAAGGTTGCGCATACGTCTCGGTGTCCGCCGCATCATCGCCAATTATCTCCTCATAGATTTTGTACGGCTGCTCGGAGGGCAATTCTTCATAGGTGATGTGATGTAATTTGCGGCATTTCTCGTTCGCATATGTCGGCGTACCGATATTGTTGCAGTTGCAAACAGAGCCAATGCCACTCAAAGGCGTCTCATAGTCCTCATTATTGTTGGTGTTGCCATTAAGAGCGTTTGGTGTGGGCGGCAATTGACGCACCACATCGAAGCGCTCGGCGCTTCTAAAACGCTGGCCAATGTTGCGCTGCGGCCATGAGAAGGAGCGGTAGTAGGACAAATGGAAGACTTTCTGACATTTTATCCACATGTAAAGTAAAAGGAAGAGTAAAGCCACGCCCACTGGCAACATAAATACGATTATCAAAGCTTCTGCGCGCTGACTGCGTTTATATTCCCACGGACCGCCATAGATAAGCTTGTAGGTAGAGGCATTGACCACGCCGCCACGCTGCTGCTCCTGAACTTGAACGCCATGTACAAAGGTTGCCATTGTCGCCGTCGTTGTTGTTGTTGTTGTTGCAGCGTTCGTATGCGACTCACTCTTCGTAGCATTGTCGGCTAAAGCGAGCATCTCTTCTGGCACGCATTTTAATCCATTCACATTAATTTGCGATATGTATTTTTCATATTGGAAAGCGCGAAACTTCTCCGGATGTGTGTGCGCAAATTCGAGCAACCACAAGCAATTCCACGGATTTCGATCGATTTTTATACGCACTTGCTCCCAACTCAATGCTGATGCGGCAGCAGCATCATGTAGCGACGCCAGTTGATTGCCGCGCAAATCCAATGACGCCACAACCGGCATAGCCGACATTAGTTCCGGCAAAGAGAGCCGCTTTAGCTGGTTGCCGCGCAATAGTAAATGCCGCAGTTTTCTCAGACTACTCAGCCACGACAGCGGCAGTTGCGTCAGTTCATTTTCGCTCAAATCAAGCGTTTCTACACCCGCAATGGAAGTGTTGCTAGCGCCATCAAGAAAATCCACACGAAAGTCTCGCAAAGCATTGCCACTCAAATTTACATATCGCACGCTTGTGGTTTGTGCCGATTCGAGCAGCGTGAAAGATTTCAAGGTGCAAACGGTGATTGATATATTACGCAGCAGCTGTGGATTACTCACCACCACGGCGTCATCGTCGAAGGTTGTGCGTGCGATGTGTATTTGGCGCAATGTCTCAGGCAGGTGGCCAAATAGATCGGAGGTGATATGCTTCAACTGTGCGAGCTTTAGCTCAGCAACGCCTGTACGCTCAAACAAATCGCCGTCCTTGAGCGCCAACAACGGTTCGTGTACGATATGTATGCGCTCCACCACGCGCAGCGTATCAAATGCCGAACGCGCAATATGACGCAGTGAGTTGCCCGCAAAGTACAGTTCACGCAATTGCGGCAGATTCGCAAACGTATCAGTGCCAATGGTGGCCAATTCATTGTTGCGGTAACGCAGCAGCTCCAGCTGCATGTCGCTATTGTTCACGCCTGGACAATTGAAGGGCTGCAGCGTGTCCGCATGGAAACGCTCCATGTACACTTGCGGCACAGTGCCACAGTTGGGTAGGTATTCCATGCCGTACGTTTCGACGCCCAACGGTGTGTGGCAGCCATCGAGCAGCAAACTTTCCGCCAGCTCTAGGCGCCGCAGCAGCAATGCGGGCGCATGATTTTGCTCACCAGCCGGTGGTAAAGCAATTTTTGTTTGACAATCGATTTCCACTGTCAGCCCAGCGGAAAGCGGCGGCTCATCGGCGCGATGTAGTGTTGCATGTATAAGGCACTGCTGGCTGTCATTCCAACAGTTGTCAGCGTCAACTATGGCGACGGCTGGCGCTAGACGAAGTACAAGCCAAAATAAGTGGACAAGGCTCAGCAGTGCAAAAGGTGCGACAAGGCGGCACATTCGATAATATTGAATTTACACTAAATACTGCGAAACCGATCATCCGCGCTGCGGCACGTCGAATGCAAATTCCAATATCTAACTGACTGAGTAACATATCGAGCGAGCAAATTCACAAAAATATACGCACTGAATTGTATTCCTTTGGCT